TATATATATATATATATATTAACTTGGAACAGATAATATTATTTTAATTATTAATAATTATAAAATCTTGAATATTTAAATTCAATAAGAAAAAATTTTAATAATTACCATGTCATTTATCATAAAATATTTGTTTGTAAATATCATTTCTTATCTTTTCTCCTAAAATAATATATAATAATATTTCAAAATAAATTAATGATCCTACTGGAATTTTAAAAATATATTACATTTAATGAAAATCAAATCAAACAGAATTGAAAGTGAGCTTTTCATAGTGAACCATTGATATTTCTATTTTTTCATTGTATTTATATTATTATAATAGAATTTTAGATATTATAATAGAAAATATGAATATTTATCATACTATGGTATAATCATATATAAAATTTTATTCAGTTTCTTTTAAAATTTGAAAAATCTTTAAGACTATTAGGATGATCCAATATTCATAAATTTTTTATTACTTATTTTTTTCATTTTTTATATTAATATTTCCGCCTTAATTCCTTATGTTATATATCCGTCCAAACGACAATTCAATTTTAATAGCCAGTATTTATTGATAAAACGAAAAATGTTTAATGATGAATTATATTTATTTAGAAGAAATTTTCGCAATAAGCGTAGTAAACACATGTTAAATAATATAAAAAAATAAAATTATTTAATTATGAGTATTAATTCAAAAACATTTATAATTTCATATCATTATTTTCTATGTTTCATTAAAATGAAACTAAATATAAAATAAAACTTTTAAAGCATTATTTATATATGTAACAAATATTGCAAATTTAAAGATTTTTTTTATAATGTATAAGTTATTAATTAATAACTTATAACAATTTTTGTTAATTTATAACAATTTATTAATTTTAACATTTATATTATTATAACAATTTTGTAATTTTGTTAAAAGTTATAAATCTTATTAGTTATTGCTGTGCAATACGGTGATGCTCAACTATTGAGATGCATTATAGATTATTTGTATTTAATATGATAATGTGGTTATAGATATCGTATACATGTGTATATTGTGCGAGATGCGTAAGTCATCTTCTAATAAGTCATAACTAGGAGAAAATTTATAAATATTCAAAACAGTGTTGAATTTCTCTATTGTATTATAACAAAGAATAAGTGTTTTATCGTGTGTTATTTGGAAATGAGATTTTAAAAAAACGAGTGTGTTATTTTACAATACTCAATATTATTTTAAGAATTAATAAAACTTATATCAAAGTTTTTTGTAAAGTTAAATATTTATTATTGTCATTGTATAAATAATTTTATTTTTACCTATATTCATATTAAAATTATTTGTATATGTATTTTGGTGTACAGATGTATATGCACATACATGTTACAAGTATAATTTAATAAGTTCATCACTTACAGCTGAAGGTGTTAATATACCTAAATCAGTAAAGAGAAGACTAATATAATGCGGTGGCGTATAATCAACTAATGGATGTTCTTTCTGCAAATCTTTTTTTAATGTACTTGCTGTATACTGTAAAAGAAAAAACAAAAAAATTTTTTAAATATATTCTATATCTTAATTAAAAATAATAGAAAATTTTAATATTTTACTTTAAACTCATTTGGAAGATCTACTTGATTTAAGGGATATATTCTTGAAAATTTGAAACTCTCTGTTAAGACATAAAATGGTTTCTTCACTTCTTTAGCACACATTGCCATTGTATATGTGCCAACCTATAAATCAATATCAATGAAAATTAAAATTTATAATGTCAGTTGATCAATTATCGAAAATTAAGAAAATTATAATATACCTTATTAATAACACCTCCACTTTCTGCAACTCCTTCTGCTCCTACCATGACCATATCAACTTGTTCCATGACATATCCCATTGCAGAATCTAATATTAATGTACAAGATAAACCTAATTTTGTTAAATTTTCATGCATTTCTTCCCTGTCCATTAAAAAAATGAAAAAGATAAATATATTATTTATCATTAATATTTATTAATATTATTATTATCATTTTAAGTTATTAAAAAGAATATTTACCCACTATTATCTGGAGAAGAACATGTTACATATACTTCAAATATTTTATTACTTTCAACAGCTTCTTTCATTGCTTGCAATACAACTCTAGATTTTGAATGAGTAAGTATTTTCTGTAATAAACATAATAAAAAAATAGAAAACCAAAAAAAATTTTCATAAAAAAATTCCAAAATAAATGAAAATTACAGAGCCATCCTTAATGAAATGTGCTGCAACTTTTGCTACTTTTCCTCTGGCAGCTACTAATTTTTCATAAAACATTTTGCCTCTATGGAGCATAATACCCTTACATTCTGCAAATGACTAATATAGAATAATATAGATAAATAAATATAAATAATAATATGATTTAAGATTTTGAATATATTCAAGTAATTAACTGATATCATAAATATTAATATTAAAATAAAAAAATTAAAAAAAGGAAAGATTAGAATAAATATTATACAGAAAAAGACTTATGACAAATCATATTAAGTATATATATTCTTACAGGAGTATCTAATGTAGCCAAAGTTATAAAACGAAGAAATAATTCACTGCCAGATGCAATGGCAGTTACAGGATTTTCAGTAGATCTCATTGCATCTATTGCATTCTGTAAACAATACCTAAGCTCTTGAACCGTTTCAGCTACAAAAGAAAAAAGAATATATAATAAAGATATATATTATTTAAAAATCTATTATGTAGTCTTACACTTTGAATACTCTAAAACTTTTAATAGTGTACGTATAGCAGCCATTCCAGCAGAAACATCTTTTTCATCTTTGATAATGTCATTAAAATATTGACAGATTTCTGAAAAAAATAAAAATTAAAAAGTATAACTGTTTTTCAATTTATTATTTTGAAACTATTTACCTTCCTTCTCCATAATGTTGTCGTATGCTTATTTCCAATAAAAATAATACAATTATTAATTAGTAATTTTAGGTTAGTGTTTATATTCAGATATTTAAATATAAGAAAATATATATTTCGATGCATGTGTTATACATTCGCAATCTATATGTTTTATAAAATTTTTATTAAATTGCAATGATTAAAAATAATTAAACTTAAAACTGTTTATAAGTGTAAATAAAAAAAATACTATAATAATGCGATGTACATATTTCATGCAACAATCTTATTATAAATTTGATAATTGAATATTATAATTTTTTATTAAATCATATTTGTAATGTAATGTGATGTATATGCATAGATATGTTTCAAATTTGTACAAATGTGTACAAATATTGTGATATATATATATATGTATATATATAATTTAAAAAGAAAATGTCTAAATTTGTTAAATGTAAAGTATAAATTATTTAAAAAATACCGTTCTCGAATAAATAGTTCACTTTATTATTTTCTTTCTTGAAACTATATTTTTTAATCAATGAAATAGACAAACATATTGGAAATAATAGATAAATGCAATATTAAAAGTATCTAAAGTGAGTATAAATATTAATATATGTTACAAATTATTTTATTTTTATTTTTTTGACTTTGAATTTTTATAAAATGTTTGTAAATGAAAATCGAAATTTATATTTTTAAATTAAAAATTAATTATATATAAATTACAAAGAAATTAGTTTAAGTTAATGGCGAAACAAATGCAAACAAAATTTTTACATTTAAAAAAACAAATAAATAATATATGTGACACGGATATATAGGAATATATTAACTTATATATGTATATTTATAAATGTCATTATAAATTAATATATTTGGTTTAAATATTTCATAAATATTATAATTTATTTTATAAATTTAGAACATAATTTTGAAACATCATATCTATTATATAATTATAATTAAAGAAAAAATAATAAAAATAATAATAAAAAAATTATACATAAAGGTAAATATTATAAGATATTAAAGAAAATAAGCAAATAAATTTTTTTTGTATATAATAATGGAATTTTTTTATAATATAATGAAAATAAAAACATGCAATTGAATAATTGTATATATCAGATTTTTTAAAATAATTTTAAATATT